CCCCAAAACCCCAAAACCCCTTACTTGCAATTCGATTGAAAATTATAGAATAATCAATTAAAAATAATATAATTAAAATGCTAAAAATTGAAAAGCCCAAGAGTAAGATGATGATGTCATTGATAATTTGAAATAGAAAAATTCCAAGAAAGTTGGTGTTGGTACGAGTTGAATTCTTAATTTGGCCCAACTCCCTGCCCAGTAATTAAATCAATCATAAACTATATACAGAGATCTTTGCACGCTTGTGTGGCATTTGAGAATAATATATACATATTCGGAGGCTATGATGGTATTCATAGATGAAATGACTTCTACAAGTATAATGTTGAGACTAACACTTGGACACAAATAACTAATAACGACACTCCACCTTCACCCAGAGACAGACATATTGCAGGTAAGATCTATGCAGTCTGTTAATTATCATTTAGTGGTTCACAATAGATCAATTTATATTTTCGGTGGGTACGATGGGTTTAACAGAGTGAATGACTTCTATGAATACAACGTGGACTATAACACTTGGCAAGAAGTCCTATGCTCAGGTTAGTAACTTTAATTTTTAAATTTAAATATCAAGTTGATTCATTAACTAAACTCACCATAGGTTCCAGTTCGCCTCCTACACCAAGGCATTCACACTCTGCTGTAGTTTATGAGGATTCTATGTATGTGTTCGGAGGCTACGACGGGCATTATAGAAATGATTTTTACAGATTTAACTTTGTCACTAGCAATTGGTCATAAATTAATCTAAAACCTAATGGAAATGGAGTGTGGCCCAAAAGCAGGTACAGAACTAGCACCACTGTTTACAAAGATATGATGTTTCTATTTGGAGGGCATGATGGTGCAAGACAATTAAATGACTTCTATTGCTTTAATTTCAGTAAGTTTTAGACTGAAATTTATTTGATTATAGCAACTGAGATGTGGACTTTGGTTGAATCAGAAACAAATCTGACTCCCTCCCCAAGAGACTCTCATATTTTAGTAAACTCAGGAAATTCTATCTTTCTATTTGGAGGATCTACGGGGAATCCCAGATCAGATTTTTATGAATTCAAGATTGATGAATCTAAATGGATTGCTGTTAATCACAAAGGAGGAAAGCCCCCAACCTCAAGATTCTGCCATGTAGGCTTTGTTCTTAAAAAGAAATTTTACATATTCGGAGGATATGATGGAGATAGCAGACTTAATGACTTCCATTACTTTCTAATCGATGATAGAACACTTGATATCCCTGCAAGCACATTAATTACTGATCTTGATAATCTTATTTAGAATCCTGTAACTATTTTAGCATTTATTAATCTAAATTACAGAAATTTTCAGACGTTTGCTTCGTACTTGAGGGTAATAAAGAATTCCCGTCTCACAAGCTTCTCTTATCAAGGTGTCCATATTTCGCAGCAATGTTTTCTACTGAAATGAGGGAGAAATCAATGGACAAGATTAGATTAGATCATATTTCTTATCACATATTCCAGTTAGTTGTGAAATATCTATACACTGATGATTGCGAAATTACACTGGAGGTAATAACATTGAATATTAATAGCATCTAGAACTCAATGGAACTGTTTGAAGCAGCAGATTAGTTCGGCATTGATAGATTGAAGTCTATGTGTGAATAGACAATAATGTCAAACATAGATATTGAAAATGCAGCTGCTATATTCCATGCCTCAGACATGCACAACGCAGCAAGTCTGAGAGAAATGGCAATGAATTTCATTTTATAAAACTTTGACTAAGTTAGTAAAAGCTAAGGCTTTGATCAGCTAGCTCGAGCTAATGTAGATCTAGTCCTTGAAATAATCAAGAGTAGGAAATGAATAGCAGAGGAATATGGTTGAAGTTTGAATATAATGTAGCTTTAAGGTTTTAAATATAATTGATTGAGTTTTAATTAAGTATCTACCTACCCCTTTCTTAATTAAAACACATAATATATTAAGATTCATTAAACTCTTGCTATCATTGAATCAATTTCAAAATTCAAAGATACGATTAATTTAACTCAAAACTATTACAATGGTGGTAATTTTTTCATTTTAAAGAAATTGCGAATAGGAACCTATTGAACAAACTCAATCTCAAATTGAGAGAAAATACATCAGATACCCTGAGAATAATGAATTCGCCAATGACCATTATGAAGCACTTTATAAGCACGCTCAGGAAGACCAGTAAGGATACTTTGATCAAGTTGCAAAGGAAGTCTCATGGCATAAGCCCTATACCAAAGTAACTATACAATTTCTTACGACATCATAATATTATAGATCTTAGACGACTCAAAAGCACCCTTACATAGATGGTTCCCAGATGGCGAGATCAACATCTGCTATAATGCAATAGATAGACACGTGGAAAACGGAGACGGCGACAACGTTGCATTTATTTATGATTCAGTTTACACGAATATACAGCAAAAGATCTCTTACAAAGATGTACAAAATAGGGTAGGAAGGATAGCTAACTTCTTAAGAAAAAGATTTGGCATTGAGAAGGGCGATAGAGTGTTACTTTACATGCCAATGATACCAGTTAGTGCTTACTTTATGTATGCGTGCGCCCGTCTGGGAGCAATTCATTCTGTGGTGTTTGGTGGATTTGCTGCAATGGAGTTGGCTAACAGAATAGATGATTGCCAGCCAAAAGTGATTATCACTGCATCTTGTGGTCTTGAACCTGGAAAGGTTATTCATTACAGACCTATTGTAGATGAAGCCTTATCTCTATGCAAGAAAGTTGAAGATGCCTCTAAGACGGTGAAGAGAATCATTGTGCAGAGAAAAGATAAATTTGAAGAGAAGGATTTGGATAAGGAAGTATATTTTGATTATGATGAGCTATTAAATGACGAGCAAGAGCTGGCTGAATGTGTCCCAGTTGAAGCCACTCATCAACTCTATATCTTATGTAAGTGTCCATTCTATCTTATTAATTTTAATAGATACCTCTGGCACTACAGGTACTCCCAAAGGAGTTGTAAGAGACACTGGTGGAACAGTTGTGGCCCTCAATTGGACTATGAAGAACATCTTTAATATCCACAAAGGAGATGTTTGGTTCTCTTCAAGTGACATTGGTTGGGTTGTTGGACATTCTTTCATCATTTATGGGCCCTTGATAAGAGGCGCTACTTGTGTATTCTTTGAAGGTAAACCTATTATACCAGATGCAGGAGTTCTTTGGAGGATTGTTGAGTAATACAAAGTGAAATCAATATACGTGGCCCCTACAGCAGTGCGTATTGTAAAGAAGGAGGATTATGAAGGACTGCTAGTCAAGAAATACGATGTTAGCTCACTTGAGGGCTTCCACCTTGTTGGTGAGAGATGCGACCCAGACACCATTTGGTGGATTCACAAGCATCTGCCTCATGTTATCATCAATGACACTTGGTGGCAAACCGAAACAGGCTGGCCTATTTCTTGCAACTATCTGAACAAAGATGACTTTAAAACAGTATTCCCAACCTTACCAGGAAGTGTCACCAGACCTGCTCCAGGCTATGATGTGAGAATAGTAGATGATTAAAATCATGAAGTCAAGGAGCCCAATACTCTAGGGAAAGTTGCAATTAAACTTCCTATGCCTCCATCTTTCATGCTGACTCTCTGGGGAAATGATGAGGCATTTATTCAAAAATATCTTTCAGACACTCCAGGATTCTACACAACTGGAGATGCTGGTCTTATTGATGATAAAGGCTACCTCCATATTATGACAAGAGTTGATGATGTTATTAATACAGCAGGTCATCGTCTATCCACTGGGAGACTTGAAGAAGTCATCAATGATCACTCTAGTGTAGCTGAGTCTGCTGTTGTTGGACATTTCGATGAGGTCCGTGGAGATTGCCCTGTAGCCTTTGTTATCCTAAAAGGGTCTAATGAATATATTGAAGGTTTGACTGCAACAGATCAAGCAAAATTATTCAAAGAGATTAATGAAAAAGTTAGACATGATGTTGGCCCAATCGCTAGACTAGAAGGAGTCATATTCGTCACTAAGTTACCAAAGACTAGATCTGGTAAAATCCTTAGAGGAACAATCAAGAAGATCATCAATGATGAAGAATATAAGACTCCAGCTACAATTGAAGATTTGAGTGTTCTTGATAACATAAAAGAAAAGGCATAGCAATGGCTTCAGGCTAAGAGAGATGCCCAGCAAAAACAATGAGGACTTTAATGCCAGAGATTTAATACCATATGCCAATTAGATTTGATCTTTAATTTAATCTAAGTAAATTAATCCACATAGATAATTACTATTAGCATAATGGGGTTTTGGGGTTTTGGGGTTTTGGGG